TGGAGAAGCTTTCCTTTATCTATTCCGCCCAAGAAGGAGAAAGCTATGTAATTTCTTAGCTTCTGTATTTCATCTTTAGGTAAGGTTGGGGTTTTGCTTGTTTATTTGTGATACTGAAGATTGAACCCAGGGATGCTGTACCACTGAGCTACATCCCCTCCCCTTTTTATTTACTTATTTATTTTATTTGAGACTGCCTCACTAAATTGTCAAGGCTGGCCTCAAACATGATCCTCTTGCCTCAGAGTTGTAAGTCACTGGGATTACAGGTGGGCCACCATGCCCAACTTTAGATCAGTTTTTAAATTAAAATTAATTTGCTGTGTCTAATATTGTTTGTATGAATTGTTTCACATTACTTACAGTTGCAAAACAGGGTCTCTTTTTTATCTCTTGAAACCATTTAAATGTTATTTCAAGACCCTACTTGGCAAGGAAGCCAGTTTTAGGCATCTTTAGGAGTTCACCATTTGTCTCCCTCTAGAAAAAAAAAATACAACTGGAGAATGCTTTTGCACTTTTTTAAATATTGCAGCAAAAATATGCCATGTATTTTGTGTAAAGAAAGTAGCACCATTAAATTTCCCTCTTTTTTTTTTCCTATTTGCTACTTTTATTAGTGATACAAGGAAGTTGAGATGTTTTGTTAATGCATCATTTCTGCCTTGGTTTCCACAATAGTTATGACTGAATAAAAACAAGTATTGGAGTAATCAACTTTGACACACTAATTCTGATATTAATGTCAAATTATTCCATATATTTATGAAAAATTTAGAAAATGATGAAAATATCTCTATTGTTGAATGTTTATGGGTCAAAAAACTATTTACCTTAGCATAATGAAGTTGAATTAAATACTTTTGGTAGGAGTTGGGGTTGTGGTTCAGTGGTAGAGTGCTTGTCTAGCATGTGTGATGCACTGGGTTCGATCCTCAGCACCACATAAAAATAAACAAAATAAAGGTCCATTGACAACTAAAAAATATTTTTAAAAAATACTTTCGGTAATAATATGAGTGCACAAAAAGAAAGAATGTGAAGATGATGACAGAATTTTTTTTATATGTGTGAATATGAAAATAACCAAAGAAAGAAGTAGGAGTTCTTCTTCTGCCCTGCGTGCGCGCGTGTGCGCGCGCGCACACACACACACACACACGCAAATTAAAGTATGAAGATGATTGAATTTTTTTTAATGTGTGTGGATGTGAAAATAGCCAAAGAAGCAGAAATTCTTCTTTTGCCCCCCCCCACAAAAATTAGATTGTCTACAGATGGATTTTCTTCTTAAATACAGAAAGTGGCCCCCAAATACTTATGACCTTGCCTTGTTATTGCTGTCAGGAGGGCAAAGATCATGGCTCCTGGTGTAGTGGATCAGACTTTGGGCCACTTATTTTGCTGCTTAAGTTTCCTTCCTGAACAGGTGGGATAAAAGTAGACAACCATCTACCAAAAAACCCTCCCAGACCATTCTGGATTTGAAACACCACATCCCTTCTTCTTACTTTGGGGAAAGTGTATTAACTTAGGACAAAGAAAGATAATAGGTATTTTCTGCCATTTTTTTCCCCTTAATCTAAAAATGAAGTTCATGTAAGAGTGCTGCCAAACTTCTTACTAACATCATTTCTCTAATTGATTTCCACTTGAAAATGCTTTTCACAAACTAAGCTGCATTATGTAGTTTCTCCATTTTTTATAATCAGATTCCCATATGTAAGTATCAAACATCTTGTAATTGACATTGTTACTATTTTGAATTATAGTTAAAAAAAAAAAAGGACCGATTTTATAATATCATGCTTAATTGGCTCTCTTTAGAGTTGAAAGTAAGTACAAGGAGCTGAAATCTACTTTCATGGAGCTCAGTTGCTTTTTTGAAAAATCTATATGAGAAAACAAATCCTCCAGTGTTGATATCATGACCTAACTCCCCTTGTTATTTTTTTTCCTAATGTAAGATGAAGTTAATAACCACCAGAAGGCTAGAATCCACATAAGAAGACATGAAATCTTTTTAATTTTTTTCAGTTATTTATTCAGCAAATGATTAAATGCTAAACACTGTATTGTATAACAGTAAGACAGATATGGAATCAGCCTCAGTATGTTTTATAATTTATTTCTTACCTACAATCCAGCATTATATTATTTTGTTAATTTATGGTTTTATTGTTGTATGACATTTACATGATATTGAATTTTTTGGCTTTTTTTGTTGTTTGTTTGTTTGTTAACAGGGATTAAACCCAGGGGCACTCAACCCCTGAGCCATGTCATGTCCCCAGCCCTTTCTTATATTTTAAAATATAAAATATTTTACATATTTTAAATATTTTATATTATTCAAGGTTTTTCTGAGTTACTTAAAGCCTCACTAAGTGGCTGAAGCTGGCTTTGAACTCGCCATCTTCCTGCCTCAGCCTCCTGAGCCATGGCTTAATTATTTGATAGCTGGCCTTCTAGTTGCAAAGAAGCAAAGTTACCTTCTTTCCTTGCTCAGTTTCAAGGAGAAGGATTTTTTTCTTTTTAAGCACAAAGATTTTTAAAAGACCTAGATTGGTTTAGAAAATATAAGACCTCTTAGAAATCATCTTATTTCTTAAAACCCCCTACAAACCATCTGTATTGCTCTCTCAAATTCTCAGTCCTCTTCTACCTTCAAAATGTCAATTATTGCTTACTGACATATGCCTTCTGAGTACTGTGCAAAGATTAATCTCTCTTTAAAAAACTGATAAGATTAGCTGTGTCTCAAGTAAAAGTGTGCATGATAATTACATAAGGGTGACATAACTTTAAAAAAAGCCTTATGAGGCATTTGATCATGATCAATTTCTTTTAAGTTAATAGAATACATATACATCTGTATATAAAGATAGGTAAGATACCTGTCATACAAACACTTAGATTTGTAAATTAAATAGTATTTTTTCTATCTGATAATCTAATAATATGATAATGCCTAACATTAGAGTTGTCGTGGAACCAACCTAGATGCCCTTCAGTAGATGAATGGATTAAAAAATGTGGCCTTTATACACAATGGAATATTACTCAGCAATAAAAGAGAATAAAATCATTGTATTTGCAAGTAAATGGATGGAGTTAGAGAAGATAATGCTAAATGAAGTTAGCCAATCCCAAAAAAACAAATGCCGAATGTTTTCTCTGATATAAGGAGGCTAATTCATATTGGGATAGGAAGGGGAAGCATGGGGGGAATAGAGGAACTCTAGATAGGGCAGAGGGGAAGGGAGGGGGCATGGAGTTAGAAATGATGGTGGAATGTGATGGTCATCATTATTCAAAGTTCATATATGAAGACACGAATTGGTGTGAATATACTTTGTATACAACCAGAGATATGAAAATTTGTACTCTATATGTGTAATATGAATTGTAAGGCATTCCACTGTCATGTAAATTTTTTAAAGTTAATAAAAAAAGAAATTAGAGTTGTCATTGGCTGGCACATAATAGTTTAACAGTTAATAAAAAGTGTCCTAAAATAGTTAACACTTTAGCTCACAAACATGGTCATAGATATTTCTAAAAACTATATAGTTATGTTCACAACTAGTATTTTGATGAATGTAAAAACAAAATCTTAACAGTTAATGAACAACAATTGTAATAGAATTCATCCCTAGTAATTTATAGTCTTGAGTTAAGCAACCGAAACTACAGAAAAGGCACATCTAAAAGCACTCATTTTTTTAACTTGTCACCTGAATTTTTACAGATCTTGTAATTGTATAATAATTTTGAGAACAAAATCTCTGGGTACAGTTGTGCACACCTATAATCCCAGTGGCTCAGGAGGCTGAGACAGGAGGATATTGAGTTCAAAGCCAGCCTCAGCAAAAATGAGGTGCTAAGCAACTCAGTGAGACCCTGTTTCTAAATAAAATACAAAACAGGGCTGGAGATGTGGCTCAGTGGTCAAGTGCCCCTGAGTTCAATCCCCAGTACCAAAATAAATAAATAAAGTTAAGGGCTAAGGTTGTGCTCAGTGGTAGAGCACTTGCCCCTGAGTTCAATCTCCAGTACCCAATAACAATAATAACAATAATTTTGAGAACAAGAGGTGAAGTTTGTGATGCCCATGACTTCTGTAAAAGACAAAATTTTTAATACTGTTCTATATGTGTAAAAGAAACGATGTAGTAGTTATTTTGGAATTATAGTGCTTTATGGGGTGGGGATGTAGCTTAGTAATAGCATACTTACCTGGCTTGCCTGATGCCCTGGGTTCAATCATCAGAACTGTGGGAAGAAAAAAAAAAAAAAGTTGTAGGCAGAGGGGGAAAAAAAAGTGGCTAAAAACCTGAAAGAAATCTCTGTTATCCAATAGGAAATTGTGAAAAATAATATCACCTCAGCATGGACAGTCATGTTGGCTAGCCTTTTAAATTTGACTGGCAAGTTGTTAGCATAAAGGATTTTTCAGGTTTCCAAAAAGGCAGCTTTCTAAAACATAAGTGTGATATTTCTTTTTTAATCGATAAAAACAAAAAGAGATTGATTTAATAATCATGTGAAGAAAGAAATTATGTGTGGCAAAAATTAATGTCTGAGGGGCTGGGGTCATAGCTCAGTGGTAGAGTGTTCACCTCACAAGTGGAAGGCACTGGGTTTGATCCTCAGCACCACATAAAAATAAAATAACGGTATTATGTCCATCTATAACTAAAAAAATACTTTTAAAAAAAAGGATTAATGCCTGATGCAGACAACTCCGATAAGTCAAAGAAGATTTTATATGTATGAAATAGGATGGTTAAGGAATTGACTTGTAAAAAAAAAAAAAAAACTATAGCATCTTTGTGTTTATACTTAGAATTCTTTAGCTCATAATTTTGATTTAAGGATATTGACTAAAAATTGCAAACTTTTTAGAAGCATTCAGTTGTTTGTCTTGTGAATCATTAATGCCAGTTGAGTTTCATCAAGGAATATGAGTACTAAATACTGTTTCTTCTTTGCTCCAGGTAAAACTTTAGTCAAGAAGCTGGCAAAAAAGGTAAGGGAAAGGAGGGGAAGTGTTGTTTGTTTTTGGTAAGATAGTGAACTTTTGGGGCTGGGGTTGTGGCTCAATGATAGAGGGCTTGCCTAGCGTGCATGAGGCACTGGGTTCAATCCTCAGCACCACATAAAAAAAAAAAATAAAGGTATTCTGTCCACCTACAACTAAAAATATATTTTTTTAAAAAAGATAGTGAACTTTTATAAATCAAATTGAAAGATTTTAATATATGTATTTATAGGATATCGAGGAGGTACTGGCAGGAATCCGTACAGCTAATTGTGGATCAACTTTTTTTAGAGACCTTGGTGATAAAGGTAATTTTAATTTGCTGTTAATTTTTTGGTTGCATGTATAATTTAACTGACGTATTATTAGAGAACTAAGGTATGAGATTTGTACCATGTTATTTAACAGGTGTTTTTAAAACAAAAATACAAATAAGGGTTGGGGTTGTGGCTCATTGGTGGAGCGTTTGCCTAGCATGTATGGGGTGCTGGGTTCAATTCTCAGAAACACCTATAAATAAATAAAAAATAAAAGTCCATCAACAACTAAAAATATATATGTATGTATAAATAAATAAAAATTAAAAATTAATTTAAAAAATAAAACAAAATGAAAAAGTTATTCTCATTCTTTGAACAATTTAAGGTAAATTATTAAAACATCATTGTTAATTAAAAACTGGAGAGAAGAGATGAGGTGGAATAAGAGAAGTAAGGATGAGGGCTGGGGATGTGGCTCAAGCGGTAGCGCGCTCGCCTGGCATGCGTGCGGCCCAGGTTCGATCCTCAGCACCACATACAAACGAAGATGTTGTGTCCGCCGATAACTAAAAAATAAATATAAAAAAAAAATTCTCTCTTTAAAAAAAAAAAAAAAGTAAGGATGAGACATGAGTCTAAAGAAGATGAGAAGGCCTCAGAGGTGCACCAACATATAAGGGAATAGATAGCGATAAAGTGCTCATGAAAGAAACCAGGGCCAGGAGATCCAAGAAGTAGAAGAGAACCAGGAGAATTTTACCACAGAGGCCAAGAGGAGAACATATTAAAGAAGGAGCTGTCAAATAAGTAAATTAATGAAGTTGAATAAGCTAGGACAGAGAACTGCCCATTGGATATAGCAGCTGGAAGTGCTTGACCCGTTAGCAAATACAGATCAGTAAGGGAATGGTATCTGAAGCCATATTTCAGGATTTTGAGAAAGTGAGTGGGGATGTTAAAAAAAAATTAAATACAGACCCCTTGAGAGACCTGTGAGCAGAGGAGTTGGAGGGTAGGTGTTGGTGTGGAGCAGAAATCTGAAGGAATGTTGGTTTGGTTTTGATGATGAGACTTGATTATCATTTGGCTTTTTTTTTTGGTACTGGGGAGTGAATCCCAGGACACTTAACCACTGAGCCACATCCCCATTTTTTTTCATATTTTATTTAGAGGCAGGGTTCTACTGAGTTACCTAGAGCCTCATTAAGTTGCTGAGGCCGGCTTTGAGCTAGCAATCCTCCTGCCTCAGCCTCCCTAGCCACTGGGATTACAGGGGTTTACCACCATGCCCAGCTATAATGTTACTTCTTATCTAAAGACCCCTGTTATGGTTTGGATCTGGAATGTCTTCCCAAAAGCTTGTGTGTTGAAAGTATAGTCCCCAATCACAAATGTTCAGAGATGGGGCTTTTAGGCAGTGATTGCATTATAAAGGCTCTGAACTCATCAGGCGATTAATTCATTTGATAATCAAGTGGATTGATCCACTGATAGCTGAATGGTCTACTGGGAGGTAGGATCTAGTAGGAGGAAGTTGGTCACTGGAGACTTGCCCTGAAGGGTTTGTGTTCTCTTTGGCCTATCCCTACCCTCTCATCCTTCCTTTCTTTCCTCTCCCCCTTTCCCCATCAATCCCCTTCTTCCCCTTTGCTGTGACCTGAGCAGCTTTCTTTCACCATGCCATTCTGTCACAATATTTCTGCCTTGAAGTTAGCTGACTATGGATAGAATCCTCTGAAACCATGAGCCAAAATAAATCTTTCCTCCTCTAAGTTGTTTTTGTCAGGCATTTCAGTCATGGTGGCTAAATGCTGATTAATACAACCTCTCTTTATTTCACAAGTATAGAAAAGGTGTTCACCTAAGGTTAATGATAAAGCAATAACAGGTAATAGTCTCTCCTGTTGTCTGAAGAAGGAATGAAGAATTAAGAAACAAATGTAATTTCTAAATCAATGGTTCATAACTCTTTATTGAATGTAGACAATTTTTACAGCTATTTCAAATATTTACCATGTTCTCAAATCAACAGTTTTAAAGTGAAAATATCACATAGTGCTTTGTAGAGAAAGAAAACAATGACAAAATGTAAAACTCCATACTTAAGACAATTAATTACAGTTCTTGTTGATAAATAGCCATTTCTTTTATTCTTCAGTGCATCATTATTTAGTGCACTACATAGAATATAATTATATTCTACATGTATTATTTTCTTTCAAAAACTAATCATTTTTACACCATGCCACACTTCACCTCACCTCATTCCTTTCAGTCCTAGCACCAGAGTATCACTATATACTGTAAGAGTTTGACTCCTAAATTGTTTACAATAGGAATTTACTGGGATTTAGTCTGGGATGTAACGATGAAGACTAGGTAGGTGTTTTAGAGTCAGCAATTTAATAAGATATTTTAAATATTAGTAATATCTGATACATAGCCCTAAAAAAATATGATTAAGTAGATGAACTTTAAGCCTGATTTGTATTCTCAGCATTATTACCTATGTAACCTTGGGCAAATTAGTCTTAGTTTTCTTACCATGTGTCTAGCACTTTACAAATAATTTCTATTGTTTTTTTGTAAGACTTAATATTTGCTGGATCGTGACCTTTTGTTAGTGAATTTGTAAACTAAAATATGTAGTACCTTTTAAATCTCTGTTGCTAAAGATTTTATAAGGCTTTGCTCTAGGAAGTTCTTATTAATTTGGCACTTCAAGGTAGATTTGTAGCACATTCTTTTTTTTTTTTTTAATTTTTTATTGTTGGTTGTTCAAAACATTACAAATTTCTTGACATATCATATTCCTCACTTTGATTCAAGTGGGTTATGAACTCCCACCTTCACCCCATACACAGATTGCAGAATCACATCAGTTACACATCCACTGATTTACATATTGCCATACTAGTGTCTGTTGTGCTCCGCTGCCTTTCCCATCCTCCACCCTCCCCCCTCCCCACCTCTCCCCTCCCCTCCCCTCCTCTCTCTCTACCCCCTCCACTGTATAACCCTGAGGGTCTCCTTCGATTTCCATGCAATTTCCCTTCTCTCTCCCTTTCCCTCCCACCTCTCATCCCTGTTAAATGTTAATCTTCTTCTCCTGCTCTTCGTCCCTACTCTGATCTTAGTTACTCTCCTTATATCAAAGAAGACATTTGGCATTTGTTTTTTAGGGATTGGCTAGCTTCACTTAGCATAATCTGCTCTAATGCCATCCATTTCCCTGTAAATTCTATGATTTTGTCATTTTTTAATGCAGAGTAATACTCCATTGTGTATAAATGCCACATTTTTTTTATCCATTCGTCTATTGAAGGGCATCTAGGTTGGTTCCACAGTCTTGCTATTGTGAATTGTGCTGCTATGAACATCGATGTAGCAGTGTCCCTGTAGCATGCTCTTTTTAGGTCTTTAGGGAATAGACCAAGAAGGGGAATAGCTGGGTCAAATGGTGGCTCCATTCCCAGCTTTCCAAGAAATCTCCATACTGCTTTCCAAATTGGCTGCACCAATTTGCAGTCCCACCAGCAATGTACAAGTGTACCCTTTTCCCCACATCCTCGCCAGCACTTGTTGTTTGACTTCATAATGGCTGCCAATCTTACTGGAGTGAGATGGTATCTTAGGGTGGTTTTGATTTGCATTTCTCTGACTGCTAGAGATGGTGAGCATTTTTTCATGTACTTGTTGATTGACTGTATGTCCTCCTCTGAGAAGTGTCTGTTCAGGTCCTTGGCCCATTTGTTGGTTGGGTTGTTTGTTCTCTTATTGTCTAATTTTTTGAGTTCTTTGTATACTCTGGATATTAGGGCTCTATCTGAAGTGTGAGGAGAAAAGATTTGTTCCCAGGGTGTAGGCTCCCTATTTACCTCTCTTATTGTTTCTTTTGCTGAGAAAAAACTTTTTAGTTTGAGTAAGTCCCATTTGTTGATTCTAGTTATTAACTTTTGTGCTATGGGTGTCCTATTGAGGAATTTGGAGCCTGACCCCACAGTATGTAGATCGTAGCCAACTTTTTCTTCTATCAGACGGCGTGTCTCTGATTTGATATCAAGCTCCTTGATCCATTTTGAATTAACTTTTGTGCAATGGGAGAGAAAGGGATTCAGTTTCATTTTGTTGCATATGGATTTCCAGTTTTCCCAGCACCATTTGTTGAAGATGCTATCCTTCCTCCATTGCATGCTTTTAGCCCCTTTATCAAATATAAGATAGTTGTAGTTTTGTGGATTGGTTTCTGTGTCCTCTATTCTGTACCATTGCTCCACCCGCCTGTTTTGGTACCAGTACCATGCTGTTTTTGTTACTATTGCTCTGTAGTATAGTTTGAAGTCTGGTATCGCTATACCGCCTGATTCACACTTCCTGCTTAGCATTGTTTTTGCTATTCTGGGTCTTTTATTTTTCCATATGAATTTCATGATTGCTTTCTCTATTTCTACAAGAAATGCCGTTGGGATTTTGTTTGGGATTGCATTAAACCTATAGAGAACTTTTGGTAATATCGCCATTTTGATGATGTTAGTTCTGCCTATCCATGAACAGGGTATATTTTTCCATCTTCTAATATCTTCTTCTATTTCTCTCTTTAGGGTTCTGTAGTTTTCATTGTATAAGTCTTTCACCTCTTTTGTTAGGTTGATTCCCAAGTATTTTATTTTTTTTGAAGATATTTTGAATGGAGTGGTTGTCCTCATTTCCATTTCAGAGGATTTGTCGCTGATATACAGGAATGCCTTTGATTTATGCGTGTTGATTTTATATCCTGCCACTTTGCTGAATTCATTTATTAGCTGTAATAGTTTCTTTGTAGAGCCTTTTCGGTCTGCTAGGTATAGAATCATGTCATCTGCAAATAGTGATAATTTAAGTTCTTCTTTTCCTATTTTGATGCCTTTAATTTCTTTCGTCTGTCTAATTGCTCTGGCCAGTGTTTTGAGAACTATGTTGAACAGAAGTGGAGAGAGAGGGCATCCCTGTCTTGTTCCAGATTTTAGAGGGAATGCCTTCAGTTTTTCTCCATTCAGAATGATGCTAGC